CTCCCCCCCCCCCCACCTCTGCATTAATATAATATAATACTCAATTTGAACTATAATCATTAACTCTCCATGTGCCCAAATGGGCAATGCTGTTCATAATGTGTAGAGCACAGAATATATATTTGTTTTAAATTTAAAGAAGAAGAAGAAGAAGAAGAAGAAGAAGAATAGTCTAGTTTGGGGTAGAAGTTATTAATGATGGGTACCTTCTTCTTTGTGGCACGACAACAAAATGGGCCTCACAGATAACACAGCCACTTCTTCCTCCATATATTCATTTCATTTGATTTGATTGATTGGAGTTGAGGTGCACTAGCAACAACAATGTTTTTAACATTAATAACCCTAAACGCATTCAAAGATTCCTCCTCCAATTAATGTTCTTCCAATGGATTTTGATTTCTGAATATGGGCTTTTATACGGCCCATAATGCATACTAGTGTCCAGGACCATTAAGCCCAATAAATAGCCCACTATGGCTGCCCATAAATTATTTTAACTCTTCACCAAATTATATTAATAATAATATTTATCAATTACGAACAAATTATTTTATGTTTTTCCTCCTCCCCTTCTCCGTCCGCATGTAATTTCTTTTTCCCGCTATCTTTCTTATTTTTCTAAACCCTATATTACCACCAAAATTCCCCTCCGCCGCTCGCCACTCCTGCCCGACGTAGTCTCAGCGGCTTCCGCGCCTCCTGCACTCTCAACTGCTGCAGTCCACCCTCCTGTCCCTCCCTTTAACGCTCTCTCGCCTCTTGAAGCAATTAGAGTGACTTATCTCTGTTTGCCATTTGTGATATCGCGCCGCCGCTCAGATTCAGCCTAAGGTTTTCTTTTGTTGTTTTATTTTTAAATTTGTTTACCTCGAAGAGGAAAATCAAAAGTAGCAGCTTTGTTGTCGATTTGTTTCTCCAACAACGTTTAATCAGTCTAAATTAGAACATAAAGCTAAATATGCATCGGAGTTTGTATGAAGGTGTTGTTGTTGTTGTTGTTTTTTTTTTTTTTTTTTTAACGTGGAAGAAACTATGATGCATACGGGGGCAAATATGAATTATACCAATAGTTGTTGTATCAGTTTAAATCCGTAACTGTAGAATCAATTTAGACCCCTAGGGGTTAGTCTTTTTCAAAGCGGTCATTGTATAAACTTCTCTAAATGCAGAGTTTAAACTAAGTTATAGAGAAAAAAAAAAAAAAAAAAACGAGCATCAAATAGATAGTGGAAGGTTTTCATTAATTTTGAGCAATTTTTCATTAACCTTGTCTTTCTTTAGTTTTCTCTACTTATTAAAAAATTATTCTTTCTGCCATCGTTGGTTTTCCAGGATAATCCAACATGGCGACGGAGGAGATAGAGCAACAGCAAAATAAGACCAAACATAAGGGGAAGCATGACAAACCGAAGCCATGGGACGAAGATCCTAACATTGATCGATGGAAAGTTGAGAAGTTTGATGCCTCTTGGAATGAAGGCGGAATGCTTGAAGTCAGCTCTTTCTCTACTCTGTTTCCTGTGTACCGAGGTAAGGAGTTTTATGTTTTTTCTTTTCAATTGTACTCTCTTGTTTTTTCGGGAGGATTAGTTTGGAATGAATGAATGAATTAGAGTGTGTGGTTTGTTTACCTCGAATTTTGAGGTCCTGATTGTCTTAGATTGTTAAAGTTGCACCTTATTTAATATAAGTCTAGGTTGCGTACAACATTATGAAACAGTTCGTTGTAGTCCTACTGAAATTATTTGGAGTTACCGTGAACATTGATTTGTTTCAATCGCTCTGTTCGCCAAGTAGTTTGGCTACGAAAGAATTATTATTTTATGTTAATTGCTCATAGGCCTATATTCTTCAATCACTCTGTTTGCCAAGTAGTTTGGCTACGAAAGAATTATTATTTTATGTTAATTGCTCATAGGCCTATATTCTTCAATCGCTCTGTTCGCCAATTTGTTTGGCTACGAAA